TTAACAAGACATTATTATAGTTTATTAATTTGAATCTTATATTTTAATTTAATAGATTAGCATAAACATGGATATTATTATTTCATCTGATTCTGAAAATTCAAAATCAGATGAAATAACATTACCATGGTCCATTGAAAGATCTAATTTACTTACCAAATGAAAATGTGCCCAAAAGTATTATATCAGCTTCAAAATCTTCAAGTTCCAATTTAAAACAACATTTGATTTTTATATTAATTATTTTATTTTATATATTATGACTAATGTATCTAACAAATTTCAAATCTATATATATGTTATAAAATTACTTAACAATGGGTTAATATAAAATTATAATAACAATAATTTATCAAAGTTTTCAACAAGTTAATCGACGAAAGTATTAACAGAATAATATAAGAAACTATTAAGTTAATACATATAATGTAAAATAAGAAATAATAAAATCAGTGCGTATAAATGTTCAGTTAATAGATAGTCAAATAAAAGAAATAATAAAAATCAGTCCGTAAAGTAATAGGTTTTGGGCAAATATTAAGTTAATAAGTAAAAGAAATAATAAAAATCATTCCAAAAATAATAGATTACTTTAAGGTAAATGAAATATATTAACAGCTATTAATCTATATATTTGTCTAGTATTCACTTTTAACTAATATAATATATGAAAAAAGTTTTTTTTATTAGGGGTCTCTTCCTCAAACACAAAAATATTATGAATAATTCTTAATTTACCTTGATTATTTCATAATGAATTTTGTTTATTTTTCTATAGAATAATAAGTTTGTCAGATATTTTATTTTTAAATATTAAATAAATAAAATACACATATTTAAAATATTTTTATTTTATATAAATTAGAAACTGTAAATGTTTAAAAAATATTCGATTGAGTAAAATATTTTATAGAAAACTATAACCCCCCCCCCCCCTATTATTGATAAAACTTTTTTGGGTAAAATAAACTTTAAAACAATCTTCATCTGATTTGTATATATTATATTAAACCAAACTCTTTAAATTTTTTTAAATCGTAACTTTAATTCTATAATGAGATGTTTTGTAAAATTTAAGAAATACGTAAATAAAAGTGAATATCGAATTTATCAAATATTTCTTATTAATTTTACTTTCAAAGGTACTCTTGGATTTGCTATAATTTTAGCTGAAAGCATTATCGTTTCATTTTTATAAAATATGTGACTGGGAGATAAAATTATCTCAGGTCCATCTATAAATGTTAAAAGATATTATATTAATGAACTGTTAAAAATATTAATGATGTAAAGAGTAACGTTGATGAAGTAACACCGTTACTAATAGTGTTACTTTTTAAGGAAATGGAACGCCATTGTTACTTTTTTCAAAAGAAAATAAGTTGTTTATTTTTTAAAAGTAATTTTAACGCAAAACGTTACTCGGTGCTTTAATTTTTTCTTAAAATATATGGAATTATATATTATATATATTTTTTAAATTTTATAAATAATTTAATCGAGTTTTTAATTCAGATCAACCACTAAATTTCTATTTAATTATTAAAACTTTGTTGTTAAATTTTATACAGTTAAGATTGCTAATTTAATTTATATTAAATTAATGAGGATGTTAATTTATATTCTCTAATATTATAATTAATTTTAAAAGAATATATGTCAAAAGTATACTTATTTCTTCAGATGAAAATGATAACTTCTATACTAATTTTTCTTTCAAATTTTTGTTTTTAGTGATATGTTGTATATATTTTGTGGGGAGAAGGGGGGGGGGGAATTTTTATTAGCTTATAATAATATTTATTAAAAAAATTTCCGAAGAGGGGATTTTCACTGCCCCCCCCCCGTTTATGCCTATGGTAGATTGTACCCAGATTCAAATATTCCAACATGCCCATCAGCTCAAATCTAAAAAGACATATGATGGTAAAAGTATAATTCTTAAATTCTAATAAAGATAAAAAAAATTTGATGAGGATCTGAATAAAGTTTTTTGCGAAGATATTCTAAGTTTTTTTAAAAATGAAGATCATTTTTCAATTGTTTTTAATAAATTCCCCCCCCCTCCAAATTAAATTTATTAAATATAATACAACCCTTTATCCTCTGCGCCATCTGAATGTGTTCTTAGCTCAGCGAAAGCTGTATTGAGCACTAAGCTCTCTTGTTTATCTGATCAAAATTTTGAGTTTACAAAAAAATTATCTATTTATTATTTTTGTAATATTTTATTTTTATTATTTGTGGGGAAAAAAATAAATAAAAAGAAAATTTATATTTATTATTTTTTTTAAGTAACGCATAACTTTTTTTAAATAGTGAGTAACGTGTTCCTTTCTTTAAAAGATAACGAGTAACGGTAACCCGTTTTATTTTTTAAAAGTAACAAGTGAAGCATTTTTATTTTAGGTAACAAACAGCACTAAATAGAATACATAAAAGTGCGCCAATTATTCCTTAGACTATCTTTGCCAACATTTTCTTAATATATATGAGGAAACAAAAATCTGTATATAATTATATTATAGACCTGTGTGCCAAAGTCTCCATAGGCGGTGGCGCTTTTCTTAAATTTTTCATTGAGGTTTATCAGCTCACCAAATTACCACCCGCCTAATAGATTGTTTTATAATTTTTGAACATTCTTAGTTCCAAATTTTTTATATAATTTACTTCTTAAATCATTTCCTATCCCACCTCTATATAAATTTACGTATTTCTCATTCTCCGAAATAGACAAATTGGCTTCAGATCAGATCACACTTCATAGGTAATCATGGACATAGCTAAGATTTTCCTAAGAGTAGGGGGGGGGGATTAATAAATTTTTGGCAGCTTCATCCACAGACCTTCCTTTATGTGGGTTTTAGGCTCGCTTTTGCCCATCCCTCGGTTGGGTCCTATATATATAACCAGTAAATATTTATATAGGATAGGAGGTTAATTTTAATAAAAACAACTATTTATCATTATTTAAAATGTACGAAATTATTTTAAAAGAGATAGTATCAAAACATAAGCTGTGTGGAAGAAATATGAAATATATTTTCCCTTTATTAAAGATTAAATTTTATATATCATATTATTTAGTAATTTTAAGGACACATTAATAGTATTTTTAAATTGCACTTTTTCCTTAAGACTTGCCTTTAGCTTATATTTCATTTCTTAAATAATATTTTTGGTTTATCACTTTTATATATATATATAAGCTTTTTAAAAAAATATGAATTATAGTTATTAGTTTTAGTTTACTTTATATTCTTTCTTTCATAGTGTTTAAGATATATTAGTATATTTTTGGAGGACAGGTGGGAATTTTTTATTAGTTTAAAAGGAGGTTCACAAAAATAACATATTTCTGAAGGGAGGGGGGAGAGAATTTCTCCCTCTCCCCGGTTACGGTTGTGCAATAACAATCTTATTAAAACAAATTATATATAAATTTGGAATGGAATGCAAACAATATAAATAAATTAGAAATCAAATTTGATTAAACTATAGTTGTCATGAATAAATACTGTATGTCGCGAGATTAGTGGGATATAATAGACGTCCTTTTAATGTTGAATACTAATCCAGCAATGAAGAAAATCCTTTCACTAGATGTACTGATTGCAGGTGCACAAAGTTCTTTAGTTAAATTATCAAGTCTATTAAGTTTCAGTCACTTTTCCCAAAAGGCTTTATCTGGCAAGTAAAATATGGCATTCTATAGCCATTTTAATTGTTGCTTGTAAGGAAATGTATATCAGCTATTTTATCTAAATATGAATTGTATGTTTGATATCTTCGACTTGAATTTCACTCTATGCATCTCTATCATACTCCATAAGTTCTAAATATCTAATTAAAATTTTCAATTATACCGTAGAATTATATTAAATGGTTCACAATAAATATAATTAGGCACGATGGTACTTTTCTTATTTTTATTCTTCGGAGATTCTAAGGTCTCAATGTTTATTATTATTAGAGCTAGTTGTTATTTTATAATTTTATATAGGGTAGTTTAAAACGTATAGACCCATTATAATAGAGTATATCATTAATCTTCCTTTGTCTCCTATTCTTTATTTTTTAATCTTAAAAGTGGGGTGTATATAATAAAATATAATGAATGAATGATTGTAAATAATATGCATTTATTATTACCAATACTCACATTTTAATTATATTTTTTTAAATAAAAAATTATAATTTAATATATAAATTGAATTAAATAGCATTTTAAAAATTTCACACGCCGAGCCGCCTCTATAAATAAATAGGCGGCAAGCCAAATGGCGTGTCTCATCTCATTCGGCGGCTTTTGGCATGGAGAAAATTAACGGTGACTCACAGGTCTAAATAAAGAAAAAATGAGAAGAGAATTTTAGTAAATATTTTAAAAACTAAATAAAATTTTTACATAAAACTGTTAGCTCCAAAGATGCTTCCAAGTCCAAAATACGAATAATAGGGTAAAGTTTTGTATGCACCTTACAGCTAATAGAAGTCCCATCATATCGATTAAAATTTTCTATGAGCAAAAATGGACTTGAGTTTTTTACTATTTTTCTATTTACATCAGTTATATTGACATCTGTGCTACCCTCGTTATTTTTCACCCATATTTCTTTATTTAGACTGATCTCCCATGTGTACATAATCAAAGAGGGGTTTATATTAATGTAATCTTTAAAATTATTTGAACCCGAGTTATAACTCTTTAATAAACACATTAACATTACTGGATAGCTCGATTTGTTAAACGCGTCTATATTTTCGTTGACATAAATAGACATATTGTCGTTGGAGGGAATAAGTTGAGTGTGATTAACTTCCGAAATGTTATCAAAAACTTTGAAGGACACATTAAAATCTTCCAATTTTTTCATATGGATATAGTTATAATGCAATCATTTACATGGGATTATTAATAATAAAATTATATTAGATATTAAGGTGAATATTATATTTCATAAAATTTAAGTGATCTTATTTTATTGTTTAAAAAAGGACTAACAAATCTTTTCTCCGGATATCAAAATTTCGCAGAGCCCAAACCCTTTTTTATTCATTTCCCCCTTTCTTTCGTAAATAATCGATACCGTTTTCGCGTATGGATATGGACATTCGGTGTAAATCATTTGACCAGCTGCCTTTACTTCATGCAAAAAATATATAAAACAAATTTTATTTTTTTTGGTTATTCTATTAGAAATTCTTCATGGATTTTAAACATTTCTTAAATTAGATCATCTAAAGTTTACAAACTTCCCTCGCCGTCAATTGAACTACAACAATAAAAAAATATAAAATTAAATATAACCTTTTTTAGTCGCATAATATTCTTTTTCAAAAGCATAGAGCCTTTTATCCCTTTTATTTAGATTGATAAAGAGGTAACTGTGTTGTTGAAAATAAATGACTATGTAAGTAAAAAGCTATAAATCGTTTCATAAATAATTAATTTACTTGTATATCTGTTACACATTGTTCTTGAAAGTTTATTGATGCCCCATTGTAGTTGAGTTACGATCTGGTCACCTATCATATCTTTAAAAAAAATATATAGTATATAAATTAATATTTAACAATATAATATAGTCAAACCTGTCTAATGTGAGCATCATTGGGTAAAGATTTTTGACCAACTTAGACAGTTGCCCAATTTATCAAGACTTTTTTATTAAAAAAATTTTTCTACTCTCACATTCTTAGTTTAGCAAAAGGTGAGATTATGTTCACCATTTTCAAATAATTTTTTATTTTTATTAATTCATCAAAGTGAAGTTATGAATTATACATAAACTTATACAAAACAAAAATGTATAAAATTATTATAAAATTTGTACAATATATGAGTAAACATATAAAATTAATTTATGAAATAAAATAAGAGGTTATCTTTGTTTATTTAACATTCACCCGCATGGCTCTTCCCCTATTCTCTTTACATGTGATAAGTCATATGTGCTTGAAGTCCTTTAAAAAAAGGGACGACAGGTGGTTTAGACGGGTTCAGACCAGATTTTTTTCTTGATTTATTTCAATGTTTTAATATTGGCTTTATTGACTCTTTACTAAAATCATTAACCGAATTTTGTAATAATATCCTTATACGCGAAGTTCCTCTTTGTATACATTATTTTTGGTGCATGTCTTGTTTCTTTAACCAAACTGGATGAACATATTCGCTGATAAGCTTTGTTAAGATCGATAGATTGACCCGCTGAGCACGCCACAACCGATAGGTTACACGTGACTCATAGCCGAAACCTTTAGGGAAATCCACCCTGGGTGAGTAGAAATAAAGATAATTACTTTTTGTCAAATTTCAATTAATAACCTTACGCTTATAACACCGGGGATACCCATAAAAATTTCCGGCCATTATTATTACGCAGCCATGATGAATTATAAACATAGCCATATTGATTGTTTATTTATTTATTTACCATTATTAACTTACAACATTGTTTACCATTACCTCGATCGTCTTTGTTATTTATAAAGTAAAAAAAGACAGTTAGAATGGCCTGGCACGGCCTCAGGATCCCCATAGCCACAGGGTCATTTTTTCATCGATTAGTGTCCAAGGTTATAGTAAATAGAATCCAGTCTAAGGCCAGTTCCCTCCTATTTACCTCACAGTTAGGTTTTGGAGAGACGTGGATGCGAAGTAGTCTCGTATGTAGCGCGTATTTTTATAAACACTGGATACTGCACAAAAATGCCTTCAACAGCATTCATTGGAGCTCATTTTTGCCCTCTTCTTACAACATTTCCCCAAATATTAAAATATCCTTAATTCCCTGTTATGGATTTCCCTTGTTACTCAAATTTGGGGAATTTTCCTTATCCTTTGAAGAGGGGATTCAGCAAAGTGATCCACTAATACCCTTGCTCTTTACTATATATTCAAGATTTGATCAAAAATTTAAAGCCTATTAGACCTAAATTTATGGTATCTCTATGATGGCGCTTTTGGCGGATACCCAATGTTATGTCGGCCATCGAGTCTTACCTAGACTCTTGCACATCTAAATCTTCTCCATTCCAATATAATTTCCTCCTTAAGTCCTTCGAATTAATATTTAAACATTTTAACGAATCCCTTTTAGTCTTAAAGTTTTCTGATTCTAAATGGTCATTTGCCTCTTTGCCTGCTTACCAGGAAGGGCTTAGATTTTCATCCCCCAATTTAAGGGTAATTGCTTGTTTCCTTTCTTCTAGGATATCATTTAACGATTTCCTTGCTTATCGAGTTGAACGATCCACTTTAAACTTGGGCCAAACAATCTTGGCTCACTCTAGTTCTTCAAGGATCCGAACACCCCATTTCCAGCCATTTAAAGAGCTTTCTAGTTTCCATGCTTCATTGTGCATTTTAAAAACTTTGTTTGTGTCCCAATCTAACTAACCTTCAACTACTCAGAAATGCAAAAAGATCTTAACGACCATGAATGGCTAGACGCGATTCCGAGGGGAAAAAGGAAATGTTACTCCAAACGATGAGTTTCAAATTACCATTGGTCAGAGGTTAGGTTGTTTTATCCCATCTGTTGACATCTGTGCTGCCTGATATAAGCAAGTAAGTTGATCCATTTTTTAGACATTGTTTCTCTTGCCTTAAAGTCAGTGGCCGTTTTTTGTGACATGACAATCATAGGTTGATAGGCAAATATTTGATTTCGGCCGGTTACACTAATAGTTTGGAGCCGTTAGGTCTCCTAAATGAGGATGGTAAGCGTCCCGGTGGCATGTCTTTAACATCTTGCCTCGGCGGCAAAAGACTTGTCTGGGATGTGTCATGTGTTAACCTCATTTCCCGCTAATAGAAACTCTGACCTCTTGGAACTCCAAGAAATCAAAAAATGCAATAAGTATAAGTTCCTTTTAAATTCTTTTATATCCCTTTAATTTTTAGTGTTTTGGGAAATCCCGGTCCCCAATCCCTAAAATTTTTAAATCGATTGGGTAAAAAATTTCAATAAGGACAGGAAGTTAAAAACTAGTCCCTTTTTCTCAAACAAAAATTCAATTTGAAATCCTATAAGGGAATTACAAGTGTTTCTTCGAAACACTCCCCTTTTCCTCTTAGTTCAACATACTTGACATTCTTCTTTTCTTTTTTATATATTATGATTATTTTTACCCTTGACTATTGATTGCTAAATTATATATTTTATTTTTTTATACAAAAATATTTCCTTGAATATATATACCGATTTTTATATTTTTAATATGATATTTTCAAATATTATTAAAATTAAAATGTTACAAATTTATGGTATAAATATTGTAAATTTATATATAATATAGAATTTTCGTGTTCAACTGTTTATAATAATTTGTTTTTGGTATTATATGGTTTATTTGCATGACGTCTGATAATTCCTTCTTTGAATTTATGAATATTGTGAATAGTTCCATTAAAAATATAAATATTAAATCTTTTAGCACATACTCTTTCAGTATGATGATTTAGAAATTTATAACCTAAATTTTTTTAATTAATGATAACTCAGTTTTCTTTATTAATTTATTAGACATGAATAGTTTTAAAAAGAGGATAAAATTTTATAATATAAATAAATGAATGCAACAAATTCCCACTTATAGAGGTCTTACCCAAATGAATAATATTAAAAATCTGTCCACTTTTCAAAGTAAACAGTTGCCCATCAAAGCATTTTTTAATAGTAGTTAATAGGATTGTAATTAGGCTCAAAATATTGGTAGAGGGTTGCACGAATTATCAAAAGCTCAAATTGTACAGGTTTGACTGTATATGTATATCTAATATAAATATGTATACTTTCGATCTTTTTTGTTTGTATAGCTACATTAAAAATTTCCCAAGCATAGTTATCGGGTAACTCAGGCAATTGAATATTAAAATAAGTCATCCTCTTAATTATCCCGAAAAAGGCACATCCTGGAGGAATATTAGGCCTGTTTTTATGTTGAATTACTTACTTTTTATATAATGTTTTATTAAACTTTAACCCATAGGAGAGTATATAGCCATCGTGCAATTTTTCCAAATCTTTTTTTGGGTATAAATTTTTATAGTTAAAGATATGAGCTCCTTGATATTCCACCAATGATCCTAGACAAAGCATATAAAATTAAGAAAGATTGAACATTATGCTAAAGGGTTTTTTTTCAAATTGGATAAACATGTATTAAGCGCGTATGCAGGAATTTGCTATGAAGGGAGGGGGGGGGGATAATTACAATTTTTTTTAGAATGATTTTAGGAGTTATTTGAGGATACCTTACGTTACATAAATTTATTAGAAGTAGTAACTATAAAATATTGACAATTATAATACATTAACTCAAATATAAATTAGTAAGAAAAATATAATTAAGAAGCATTTATAAATTTATAACATAAAATCCAATCTTTGGAATTACCTAATATATGAATGATTTCATCAATACATGGTGTCAACTCTCTAAATTTATTATGAAGGGTGAAGCTATGCAATTTATTTTCAGAGGAAATACTTCTTACAGGTGCTGTTAAACGGCTGGATTTTAGCCGATTTTTAAAAATGGCAGTTCAATATTTTATCCAGAAAGATATTACGCAAGCCTTAAGATTTTGCTCATAGACACAAAGATTTGAACATCTATAAGCGAAATCTCGAGGATTATTGTTAGCTCTATTTAAATCGGGTCAAATCGAGCCATTTAACAACATTACTTATCAAATATGTTTTTATTGATGTTGAAAATGTTCTTTCATTGGTAGAAGTACTAATGGGTAGAGTTCAAAATATATAATAATTAATATATTTGGAATATAGTCCAAAATATGTTTAAAATTATGCGAAGTATATAGCATTTCTTGGAATATTATAAACTATTGTTAACCTTTTATAACATAGATTGCTTTCAGCTAATAATCTATAATTCGACTTTAACTTTATTTTTTCTCTATCAAGATTTGAAATAGATTAGGAAGGTTTCTGAGGTAGTAAAATATATAAATTTATGTGTTGACTGATTAATTAAGAACCTTTCATCTATTTTTGGGTCATTCCATGTCAAATCGATCACGATTCAGCCGACCCCTTTTAAAATTGTTAAAAATTTCTGGAATTATTTAGATAGATAAAAGAGTGAGAAAGTCGTTTATTTTAGCTCGCAAGCACACCTGGTTTACGAGATATAGGGGCTCAAAGGTACAAAAAAGAGCCACTTTGGAATCTGTAAAATTTTTAAAATGCTTATATCTCAAAAACTATTTACAGTAAAAAATATTATAATATATCATTTTGTAGGTAAAAAAATTCTCTAATGGGCTATTAAAGAATAATAAATATTGGTGCCATTATAGGCTTTTAACATCCGGTTTACCTAAATTGCTTTACCTGTTTTTAAGCAAAATAGTGAGTTTTTTCGATTTTTTTTATTGCTTTTTATTTAGACACCTTTGCTAAATATATATACAATATCAAAACCTTGGCGACGCTATCGACTCCAAAAATTGATAAAAAAAATAGATGGCGCTTTATGAAATTACGGATTATGGTTAAAATTTTGCTGCTAACTTATCAATAACCATATTTTTCACTTTTTATACTAAAAGATTTTGATTTTCTATTAAATATACTGATCAACTGAGGAGCAGAGTGGGAATATGCCCATTAAACACTTAATAATGTAAAAAATTTCCAATAATAAATATCTTTCATATAATTTTTTTAATTTTTAAGGTATCTACAATTTCATCAAATTTTTCATCATTTGATGAAGATAATGGTATAATTTTGTTAAAACTTTTTTTTTACTCTAGATATTTTTTTCTTCGAAATGAGAGATTCCCCAATTGATTGTAGGGATATATAATGTTATCAATAGCCTCTTGATTAATTATATAAAGGGGAGAATCAATATCTACATTGTCATTTGAAGTATAAGGAATGTTTGCTAATTTTTGTCGCTGTTACATTATAGGAATTAATAAATTAAAATATTGGTTTTTGAATAGTAATATATTTTAATTTATATTGCATACATTCATTATATTTTTATTTGGTTAGGAATTCAAATTCAACTTGTATTACTTTTTATGAATTCAAATTTATCTTTTCAATTCAACTTTTTATTTTTGTAATTCAACTTACATTACTTATTATTTTTCGTAACCTTACTTTTTGTTTTTATATATATTCTAATTTATATTTATAGAAAATATATATATACCTTAAGAAAAGAGAATGAAGTTAGTTAATAAAATATATTTTTACTGACTCGAACCTCGCGCTATATCGTTAGTGTCCTTATTCTTTTCATGGTGTCCTGGCTCTAGGTGGTGGACTAGAAAAAGATGACTGCCTAATCTACTGAGATGACTATCTAACCTATGGAGACTGCTTAACCTATGGAGATGACTACCTATTATGACTACCTTATCTATTGTGACTGCCTAATCTATTGATATGACCAATGCCTAATCTACTGAGATGACTATCTAATCTATGGAGATGACCAAGAATCAAACCTTAGCACGTTCTTTCATGCAAAAAGCTTCTTTCTTCATGGTGTCCTGGCTCTGGATGTTGGACTGGAATATGATAACCAGCACCTAACCTAATGTGACAACCTAGAAAGAACTGATATGGAAGTTGAACAATAGGTTATGAATTCTATATTGAGAGACCAATGATGATTACTTATTATTCTAATCCACGTAAGAAGAAAACTTATTATAAATTAAAATTTTATGCCGGGATAAAGGCTTGTTATAAATTTTTAAAATCACTAAAATGTAAAATCATAATGGAGATATTTGAACACACAAAAAGCCTTTAAAAAATTATTTACTTAATTTCTTAGTGAAATATTGATACTAAAATGTAAAATCATAATGGATATATTTGAATACACAAAAAGTTTCTTGAATGATGACCAATTGTTATAAATTAACTAAACCTAAAGATGAATTCTTAGATATAATTAAATATAAATCATTAAAAATCCTAAACGATAAAGCTTTAATTTTAAATATATTAAAAAGTAATTAAAACATATGAATTAAAAGGTTTAAATCACATGATTGATTTATATAACCCTTATAAGTAATACTTAATGTGATAAAAATGTTTTTGAAATAAAGCTTTTGAAGACAATTGGTTATGTTACATCTTCATTTTATATAAATATATTAAAAATAACACTTTGAATTAAAACTAGGTTGTGAAATTTAAATTTTTTTTTTTAAAAGAGGGAAATGTGAATAATATTTTATTTGCATATCTTTGTGAATAATATTTTATTTGCATATCTTCCTCAGGATTGAAAAAATTAATTTATAAATATAAATAAATTTAATACTAAAACGCGAAAAAATAAATTAGAGACTAAAACGCGAAAAAATAAATTGGAGACTAAAACGCAAAAAATTAATTGAACACTAAAACGCAAAAACTTAAAACGCTGAAAATTTTATGTAACAATCTTATTGATTTATCATTCTTCACTTATTTTTATATCCAATTTGATGAACTATTATTTCTTATTATTCGCAACTTATTGATGCTAATAACAATTTTGAAAAATAATAATAACAACAATTGAGTACTACCAAATAAGCTATGATTAATAAAATACTACCAAGCAAGCTATGATTAATGGAGACAACTTACGATAAGGATATCAAGCTTGCGATTGGAACAAACCAAAGTACAAAATCGATTTAAACAAACCAACGATTAATGACTTATGCAACATTGACAACCAAAACGATAAACCACTTGAACAACAAACTCTCTATGACTTCTTAGATGAAACTATGGGAAGGCTTGTAGAAGAGGGAGAATGTTACATTATAGGAATTAATAAATTAAAATATTGGTTTTTGAATAGTAATATATTTTAATTTATATTGCATACATTCATTATATTTTTATTTGGTTAGGAATTCAAATTCAACTTGTATTACTTTTTATGAATTCAAATTTATCTTTTCAATTCAACTTTTTATTTTTGTAATTCAACTTACATTACTTATTATTATTCGTAACCTTACTTTTTGTTTTTATATATATTCTAATTTATATTTATAGAAAATATATATATACCTTAAGAAAAGAGAATGAAGTTAGTTAATAAAATATATTTTTACTGACTCGAACCTCGCGCTATATCGTTAGTGTCCTTATTCTTTTCAGTGGCCATGTAGAGCATATTAACATATCTAAATTGAATGGTAAATTTTTTTAGGTCATACAGGGTAGAATCTTTCTTAGATTCACGCGATAATAAGCATGTCTCTGTAGATTAAATGGGTTGCAACATTTTAATATTTGGTACGTCCATCTGTGATATAGAATAAAATATTAATTGATCTACACCTATAATACATGTTTTTGCACTCTCCAAATCCAGATTGTTATTGGTAAACAGACGATAAAATTAATCTGAATGGACAGGTTAAAATTATTTCGCAGAAAGAGAGATCGTTTTAAAATTTATTTTGTAAAATATAGTCGAATATATGCCTATTAAAATATTCGTTTTTACTGCAGCTGTTATATATTATCGAGCTAATAAGTCATTTGCTCGCTATAGTAGCAAAGTATAGATCTAAAAAATGTAAAACATTTTAAGGATAGTGAGAGGGGGGGGGCAGAACTGGAAAATTTTATCACAATTCTTATAAACGTATCAATATTTTCATTTTCATTAAGAATAATATTTTTTAACCATTAGCGTCATCTACTTTTTTCTCCAATTTTTGGTAAAAATGTATATTTCGGAAAAGTCGATGGCGTCGCCAAGGTTTTGACATCGTATATATATTTATAAAAGGTGTCTAAATAAAAAGCAAAAAAAAAATTCGAGAACAAACTCACTATTTTGCTTAAAACTACAGGTAAAGCAATTTAGGTAAACCGAATGTTAAAAGCCTATAATGGCGCCAATCTTCATTATTTTGTTAACCCATTAGAGAAATTTTTTACCTACAAAATGATTTATTATAATTTTTTTTACTATAAAGAGTTTATGAGATATAAGCATTTTAAAAATTTTACAGATTCCAAAGTGGCTCTCTTTTGTACCTTTGAGCCCCTATATCTCGAGAACCAGGTGTGCTAGCGAGCTAAAATAAACGGCTTTCTCATTCTTTTACCTATCTAAATAATTCCAGTAATATTTAACAATTTTAAAAGGGGTCGGCCGAAAAGTGCCTTTTTTGATCGATTTTACATGGAACGGCCCTATAAAATTATCAAGTGGGGATAACGCGATTTACTTTAATTCTTTGACTGATTACTCAACAATGACATATAATTTATGATGAAATTCGTCACCCTAATTTCCTCAGGTTCAAATATAATGCTTTCAGCTATTCTCATAGTCGCAATCAAATCGATGTCCCTTTTTCTAAATATTCTCCTTAGTTTTGCAGGAAAATGTTTCTAATGATTAACGGTAAATTTTAAAATGGTAGATAAAAATAACGCCAAAGAAAATTTGCAATCGATATTAATTCATAGAATTAATTAATAGCGTGTTTATTTCTGCTGTTATTATGATAAATAAATGTAAATTGGAATATATATGATATAGAAGTTTGGAATAATTAATATAGAATATAATTAATAATTAATAATTAAAAAACAGTAATATTTTTGAAAAATATTTCCAGCATCTAAATTTTTTGACTTTGGGACTAGGGGGGAGGGAGGGGGGGGGGAGTTGTCTTCTTGCCCTCCCTCTGCATATGGGCCTGGCATGTGTAAATAACTAAATAAAATTTATGCTTATTTATTGCATATACTTCGCAATTGGTTAATTTTAAAATAGCCATATATATTTTTCTATGTGTTTTTTAAAGGTTGAAGGTTTTGATAAGATTCTAAGGTTCTACTATGTTTTTGGAGGTTCCGGGTATAGTTGAGAAATGGCTAAATGACGATTAGTTCGGCTCAATCTACAACAGCGTGTCGGGGAAACGCTTTAATTTATATCATTTTCTTTCGAATTTAGGATGCTATATTTTTAAGAAAGTCCAGACCAAAATAATATATTTCAGCATTTAGTTTAGCTGATTTTTATGCAGGTTAAAAATTGGCCCAAACGGCTAAAATGTGTAATTACAATGTAGTGATTTAATGATATAGTGCCCTTTCAAAAATTTTTTATTGTTTATCTTTATAATTAGATATGCATTTATTTTTTTTTGAATAGGGGAGCGGGAATGGGGAAGAGGTAATTTTAACTAAAATGATATTTGGAAAACATTACCAAAGGGGAGATCTGCTCCCCCTTTGTCTATGGTTATACTGTGTTTATTAAACAAATATATACATAAAAGCAGGAAAGAATACATTACAACATTTAAATATCTATTAAAATAAAATATTTTACTTTGAAAATGGGTGAACGTAAAGATTTCTACTTCGCACAATTTCAAAAAATCGGGTCCTTTGGAGGATATTATAAAAGTAGTTCCCATACAATTCTTTATATGTTTAGGATAACTAATAATAGTATAATAAGCACGTCAATTATTAAGGATTATAAATAAATTTTATTGTAATCGTTAATTCTATAGTAATTCATCCTTATCGATTAATTTGTTTTCTTATCGTGTCAAATAACTATAATATCAACAAACAATGAGAAATGGATTATTCTAAAAATATTTGATATAGAAAAAATTGGAGTTTGGTTAAAATTAAATATATTTATATATCGTAGGGGTTTTTTTAGCAAATCTTTAAAACTTAAATAATTTATAGTCCGGGTTTTATTTATTTAGAAGGACCTGATTTTGTCGGATATATTTTCCATAATGTAGAGAGTATACCTACTTCATGAATTTATATAATTTCCCCATAAATTTTTGTGGTATTTTTTTTTAAATTTGATTGATATATATATAAATAAATAGTTAATATATATACATGGATACAAATTAATATAAATTCAAAAGTTCACGGCAAAATTTAAATTCACAGGATAGGTACTCAGTGACCTCTATCATGAGAAGGGGGGGAGGGTATTTAGAAATAAAGTCCTTAGAATAGTAAGGAGGGTGAGTTTTATGACTCAATTGCATTATGAAAAGAGTACCTTTACAAGAAATCGCTACCATTTCTGCGAATCACAAGTATCACACGGTAATATTCATTAAGCTACAAAATTAAACTATTTTTTATTGCATTAAATTAGCGGCTATACAACCAACAAAATGTTTTAGTGAGGAATTAATGCAATTTTTAAAACAGATTTATACTCCAAAAGAATTAAATTAAAAGGCACTTATAAAAAGAATGGGATTGAAGAGCCTTGTTATAGGTTAAACTAAGTAAAATAAGAAATAAATGAATTTCGAACAATTAATATGACGGCGATGGCGAAAGATGTCATTTACGTTAGTGATGTTCAGCCTATAATATGACGATATTTATATTACATGATTTTGCCTCTAGTGACGTGGTAGTGAATGTGAAAATGATACTGCAAATTATATCCACCATTCTTTGATCTATTTTTATCATAATTTAATTTTAAATAAATAGTAGACCGAGATAAAACGATTGACATTTTGCATTTTTACCATAAAAATTTAGAAAGCAAATCAGAATACATTATCGTTTTATCAGCCCAATTCCTAGCCTATAGAATAAAAAATAAAGTGTAGTTCTTAGCCTATAATACTTTTGGAGCTACGATTAATTTTGTGAAGTGCGCTATTTTCTCTCCCAAACCAGCGTAAAATGGCTAAGCACCAGGGTAAAGTGGTTAAAAAATTGAATACAACTTTATTGTTTTATTGAAATTAGCAATTTTTACATGTTCATTCAAATTAGTGTTGTTAAACAGTCCGATTTGGGTAGTATTTAAAACAGCCTGATTTAGATTTTAAGCAATATTATTTTATGTAAGCCTGGAGATTTTGCTCAAAGATAGCAGAAAGGTTTGGACCTCTATTTTCCAAATCTCGGGGCTTAATTAATATTATTTTGGTTAAAATATTTATCGGGCCTTTTTCAAATCGACCCAATTCAAATAAATAAAAAATCAAGTTTATTTATAATAAAAAATTCCCAATGATTCAATGACTTACCACTTTCAGGAAGGTAGTAACTGCGCCGTGAAGAACCCCATAGGGGTCTCGTTATTAGCTTGGGGAGGGTGAGGCATGATGTCATTGGAAGTTCAGTACACGATGTAAAACGATTTTCAAAATCAATTTTTTAAAATTAGAAAAGACGAACTAACCAAGATTTGCTAAGCCCCTAAGGATATAGCTTAAAAATCGGTGTGCTCTGCTCTCCTCGACAAAATAAAAGAGTTTTCGATATTGTCCAAATTTTAAATAAAAATTTATCCAATCAAAATTATGTATAGAAGGGTATAAATTATCTCATTTTTATTTTTAAAATTTTATATTATTATCTTTTTATTGAATTGTTATGCTAATAAAGTTTTTAAATATGTTATCAGAGATCTACCGGAATATGTAAAACTAGTCAGGAATTTTTGGAGAATTTTAGTGGCCCTGCTCGAATTTTTAAAATTTATTTTGAATAATTTTTGGCTGTATTTTACAAATTGATTCAAAGGGAAAGTTTAGCAGAAAGTGAATAAACAAAAAGTTTAGCAGTAAGTGAATAAACAAATTCAAATAGGCCAGCCCAATTTTTTATGTTTTATCTATATTTTGAAGGTATCAAAACGGGTAATAATTTAACGTTAAACTTTATTAGTTTTTTAAATGTATTTTTATAAAAATATTACATTATGTCGTAAATTAAATTTATATACAAAAAAAAATTGTTCTGAATTAGTTTGTTTGGCTTAGATTAAAGACCTTGAATGAGTTACAGCCCGATGGTCGATAGGGAGTAAGGTAAAGATCAATTGTTTAATTCCTGAGAGAACCCATTTTTTCCTAAAAACCTACTTGATCAAGTAGCTAAGGATTCAAGGGATCGTATAAAGGTTAGAAAAATGAGGGTATGGTTAATATAATATACATATATTCAAATGGGTGTTATTGCATTTTAAAAATTTTTTGGTTCTGTTTAATAACTCTTAATTTATATATGTTGATTGCATCATATTATATAATTACCGTTAAAAAACTATATGACCCATTTATTTATTTTAAAATTTTAAAATACGAAATATTTTTAATGCTGAACTCTAAAATTTATTTCAATTTTTGTCAATTTTTACGCAAAAAATAATGATTCAAATCTTTAAACTCGATTTTCTCATTTATAATAAAAGGATAAGTAAAACCAAAAATTAAGGGACGAGACACATATAGAAATAAATAAATAAAAATCCAAACTAGAATCTCATCTTTTCGACGTATTTACCCTCGTAATCAATATAATCGAAACATATGGGATCAAAAAGTGTCCAATTTTTGTAACTAAAGCTAGCCCTTGCTACGAAGTCTAATTTGATATCGGGATAGGTTTTCCCGATAAAATTTTTTTTTTTAAATAAAATTTTTTTATCAAATTCGTTTTAAAATCTTATATTTTGGTTACTCGAAAGCTCCCCTTGGTATATGATTACATTATTGATATCGATCGAGACTTCTTTATTATTCACATCGTAACCAAAATGAATGATCCAATGGTATATTGCTATTATATTATTTGAAAAAAAAACATTATTCTAATTATTAGCATTATTAATAATAAAACATCAACTACAATTTAATAGGCCTATTACATTAAATAATACAGGATCACACTGAACGATAGAAAAAAAACATGTGTAAATAACATTTTTTATATTCGTTTCGATTCGAACATCATATATTAAAATAATTTTAAAAAATGTCAATTCCCTATCTTTCTCGTTCATTCGAACTAAGTTCATAAAAAAGAACATATCTTTGAATTTTTTAAATTTTTTCTTCAATATTTAAAAAGGTTGGTATATACCTCCAAAATATTTTTTTAAATAAATATTTTTATTATTTGATAAAATAAATACTCAATAATTTTAGGATGAATTTTATATTTTATGAAAAGTATAATCGAGAGTTAAAAAAAAATTTCTGACATCCAGAGTTGTTAAAGTAGCGCGCTACTTAGCGCGCTATCTTTTTTAGTAGCTATAGCTAATAGCGGCTACTTTTTTTGTAATTATTTAATTTTTTAGCGGCGCGCTACTTTTTTTGAAAGTTTTCAAAAAAACATAATGAAGGTGTATAAACATGAAAATTTAAATATAATATCATAATTAATTATAATTTTTATGATTTATTAATTAATTTTGAAATTGAAATATATTTTCAATTTGTAATTTATATTTTCATTTGTATTATAAACCTAAATCACGTGTTAATAATTTAAAATGTCATCGCCTATGGATATCCAAATCGTTGAAAGGATTCAGATAATGATATTAATGAAATGGAAGATACTAGGGAAGAAAATGTTCTTAATAGCTATAAGACAAATATCCCATTCCCTAGATTTGAAAAATTTTTTAAAATAAATATAAAAACCAAAACTGGCTTCAAATTTATTTGTTTAAAATGTAAAAAAAATATTTCCTCAAATCAATCCAGTTATAACCTCAAGAAACACCTAAAGTCTAAATTGTCATTTTTACATTCTAATAGTATTTATTTTATAAGACTGTTCATGCCAATAGTTTTAAGGAAATGGAGAAACATCTAAATAATTTTGGTATAGGCGACTCTACATCCAAAAAGACTAATTCAATTCAAACCAAATTAATTAATAATACAAATGCCAATATTTCTCAGAAATTGGCTGATAGTTATTGTTGATTTTATAATTGATGCAGTTCACGTTCAGCCAATGTCCTTGGTTTATAAAATCATTTACCATGATGATTAAAAATCTATCCACTGGTACAACAATTTTATATCGCCAGACACTAATGTATAAAATAGCAGATAACTTTAAAGTGATGAAAGATGCTCTAATAGTAGAGTTATCAAAGATATCATATATATGTACCACGGCAGATAGTTAGACACATTAGACAAGGTAAAAACTTATAAAATGCAACAAATTACCATAAATTTATTTTTATTACATAAATTTTTTTTGATCAAAACTTAACTATATTTTAATATTTATAAATGTTGATTTTTATATATTTACTATACAATAACATTATTAGCAAAAAATAAAAATTTTTTATAAATTTTTTTTTATAAAAAGTAGCTAAAGCTACTTTTAAAAAATAGTAGCTAATAGCGCGCTACTTTTTTGACAAATAGCGATAGCGGTAGCGCGCTAATTTTTTTGATAAATAGCGATAGCGGTAGCGCGCTACTTTTAAAAGTAGCGATTAACAACTCTTAAAAAAATTACCTTATTTATTTTCTTTTCTAAAAAAACCATAAAAACCTTGCCCGGAATCATTGAAAAACGGTAAAAATTTATTTTTATCTTTCGACTTAAAACGGCAAAAATTAAAATAAAGAGAGATCACAGGGTTAGAAAAATTTAGAAAGAA